GATGATGATGATGATGATGATGATGATGATGATGATGATGATGATGAGGGCATAGGAAAGGCGGGTGAGAGGTGCTCCTTTTCTCTGTGGCCTTAGGTACCCACCAGCTAAGCGCTCCTCACGCGGTGGACTCTCAGGAGGGTCTGAGGAGGGTTCGGCCTGGCCGGGTCAGCGAGGCCTCGGCCTCACGCCGGCCTTTTGAAGAGAAGTGAAGAGAAACGAGGAGCGATGGAGGGGTAGAACGAGAGAGAGAGCCCCTTCAGCTCTGGTTTCCCGCTCCGGCTTTGAAGCTGCTCTTTGATCGGAGTGGGTTGTGTGCACGGTGCGATGGGGAGAAAACATCAAGCCAACAGGCGTGGAGAAATGTCAGGTGAGGTCGGGATGGACACGCCAACGGTGTGTTCGGCCACTGGGGGGCAGGAAGGGGGGGGGGCAGGAGTGGGATTTGGGTTCCCTATCTGAGGAAAAAACGGAGGAAAATGGGGACTTTATCTCATGATTCTGACCTTGTATCGGGCGGATGAAGGAATGTTTATTTCAAATGGACATCGAATATCCACAGAAAATAGACACCAAAAAAAGTCCCCCACGCCTCTGTGTTCAGATTTAGTTCCTGTTAGTGTTGTGAACAGCTAAATGCACCGGCAGCTTTTACCTGGAGTAATCTGTTTGTCTCACACTCTTCCCTGTGTGCCTCCAATATAATGACACCCTCTGCAACATCTGACCTTTTGCTAGTGGAAAAGGGAGGAGGTACCAGCTCATTTAGAGGAAAAAGCAGCAGATTTGAAAATGTCTCCAGACCTTTCTGTCCTATTGGTTCGCAGGAATCTGTTTTTAAAACATCGCGTAGTTTTCTCCTGAATTTATGTTTCCTCGGTCAAGACTCCTCATAGCTTTAGTCCTTGTAATGATGCGAGAGTATAACCTCAAGATACGCAACCACATGAGTTTTTGTTTTGTTCCTTTTAGCTTTTGTGACTGCATTGCACTTCTGTAAACGTCCTTATAATTCCTCCAGTAAACATCTGCCGGTACACAGTGATGCACATATACAGTACATATTAGCAAAGCCTAAAGCTTCCTCCTTTTGATGAAGGCGTCTTCCCAGTTTCAGCAAATAGAATTGTATCCTCCTCATACCTCACATTGCTTGTATGGAGTAATGCTTTGTCATTTTAACGGGACCTTAATGCCTTTTCCTCTTCCAAGGGATAAACCCAGTGTTTGATAGAGTCCTTCCAACTCTTAGATGAGCTCACACAAACTGGTTAAGCATGGCTTTGATTGGTTTATTTTTTTCTCTGAGATCATTTATATCAGGATGTTTCTCTCAGTCTCAAACGAGATTTTTTTGCATGCATTTGATTTATGCTTTAGTTCTGCCTTGTGTTCCATATCGACCCGCGCCGTGTTTCAATCTAACAGCAGTTCTTCCATTTGTAAATGTCTTAAATCACAGATGAATGCACCTTCTTGTGAAAGAGATTTTTTTTTAATTGATTTCAGTTGTAAGTATTCGGTTGCTTGTGTTTCCATGCTGTACTTATTGTGAACAGAGGAATAGAGAGTTGTTTTGTTTTGTTTTGTTCTTTTCTTGAGTGCAGAACCCCATTTGACTGCCAGTTGTGGAGAGATGTTTCTGAACACATCATTTTAGATGAAGCTCAACCATAACTGAATTCGCTCTGTGGACGTTGTTTGCGTCCGGTCCAAACATGTTGCTGAACCGACGGTGTTGTGTGTTTGATTGGCCTTCCCTCTCCATATAAATCCATCACCAGATCTTTTTCTGTTTGTTTGCTTGCTTGCTTTGTCTGTCCAGACAAACGGAAATCAGACAAACTGAAATCCCTTCAGTGTATTAGTTTCAATATAAAAACAAGTATCCTTCCATTTTAAAGACATTGTAAAAACCCTTTGTAGACACTGGAGTACTGTAAAATAGTAATTACTGGCAAAGATGATGATTACGGTGATGATGACGATGATAATAATAATGATAATAATAATAATGGCTGTCTGTTCTTGTTTTATAAAAGTGTTGTGAAAATTGTAAGAAACTTAAAGTATTTAAAAAAGTTGTTCTCTTGTTTTTTTTGTTTTGTTTTTTTTGCTTTGATTTTGTTATTATAATATATTATTGTGTACTTATTGTAAATATGAAGCACACCTATTTTGCAAGCCAAGGATTCACTTTGTACTGTTGTTATATATAAATAAACTTTGCTGGTTAAAAATGGCATCGAACCAAATCTCTGTTCATTGGGGTTTTACAACCAGAATGTTGCAATCAAAGTGTCCATCAAGTTCGATTTTGTGAAGGAACAAAGAGGGCTGTTGGAGTTCAGTTACCTCACAATTACCGTGCGTCACCAGCCCAGACGTATCAGAGCAGATTTGTCTTACATCGGGGTCCTAAAAGTGGAATTTCCTGGTTTAATTGAATTGAACGCTCCACACTTCTACAAGAGAGAAATGGCTGAACAGATATGTGATTTAAGCCATGTGAGGAAATGTAGGCCTCCAAACTGTCAACAGTGCATCAGAAAACAACAAGATTAAGGTCTGAAAATGTACCAAATGTACCTGAAAATGTATTTGGTCGCTGTTGTGCTTACTGTGTCATCACCTAAGTGCTGGTCCTACAATGTGAGTGACGAGGGGTTGGAATTGTGTACATCAGAGATGCTTTTTGGGCAGGGCCCCCTCGTATGTTGAATCGGGGGACACAGTGAATGTCATTGAATCGTGAATCTCAAAAAGTAAGTGGTGTTCAAGTTCACTGGTCAGCATGCTTTTTTTTTTTTCCATAACAGCAAAGGTGTTGTATTCAACGTTAGTCTGTAATGCATATTTAAGAATGCACTGTTTTCATTTTGATTATACAATTATTAGATGTTGTATTTGTAGAGCTACCTGTTTGTTGCTGATGTGGCTAGCTGATATGTACAGTATGTTTCGATCCAACACCGTCACATTTTGCCCCTAGTTTAAATAGTTATCTTTGAGAATTTAAGCATTTTTTTAAACCACTGTGACCACTGCTTTACCAAACCTTCTCACTTGAGTCCATTCCCAAAGCACAGCTAGGAACTGCAACGAGCTGAATTGCGATCATTAGTCTTCCTGCAAGTGTGTTTGCTCTGGCTGGGCTCGGCATCTCCACACAAACACTATTTCTGCAATCCCATTAGGTTGCTAATGGAGGACGGGCC